ACTGAGGTAATAATTTTCAAATTGATTGTTTATTTTCATACAATTATTTTAATAAATTAATTTTCCTTTTGTTTGTAGAATATTCTCACACCCAAATGTGTTGCCAGTGATTGGATGTTGTAACTCCCCTCCTAATTTGGTGGTTATTAGTCAGTATATGCCTTGGGGCTCGCTCCATACTTTATTGCATGAAGGAGCGAGAGTTACAGTGGACACAGCCTTAGCACTTAGACTCGCAGTAGATGTTTCTAGGGCTATGGCGTTTTTGCATAGTTTAGAAAGGAGTATACCACAATTTCATCTTAATAGTCATCATATAATGGTATATTTAATTTTAAGATTTTTGTTTAATTAAATTCATGTGTGCTTATTATTATTAATCCATAGATTGACGAGGACCTTACAGCCAGGATAAATATGGCAGATGCTAAATTTTCATTCCAAGAAAAGGCAAGGGTATATTATCCCGGATGGATGTCTCCTGAGGGTAAATATTTGGATTTAATATAATTTTCTTCCATTAGATATTTGTGACATTTAAAGTATCCTAAATATAATGACATTGTTATACAAGTACAGTAGAACTTCCATATAGCGGTCACTGAAGGGACTGTAAATAATGACCGCTATTTAGAGGTGCCTGTCCTACAGAGGTGACCGTTAACAGAAGTTCAAAACCTTCCAGTTCCAGGTGACCGCTATATAGAGGTCATACAAATTTTAAAAATAAAACACCAATATTAAAATAACCCATATGAATATGGGTATTAAAAATCTAATTAAAAATAATAATTTTCCATTTGATATACTTTTAAATGTTGACCGTTAATAAGAGTGCCCGCTATTTAGAAGTATTAATGTATTTTTCCTATAACACTCGACGGGACCAAACAAATTGACCGTTACATAGAGGTGACCGTCCTATAGAGGTGACCGTTAACGGAAGTTTTACTGTATATAAAAATTGTTAAGTTGTATTTCTTGTTATTTCTAGCTTTACACAAAAAACGAATTGATACTAATTCAGAAGCATGCGACATGTGGAGTTTTTCTATTCTTCTATGGGAATTAGCTACTCGAGAAATTCCATTTTCTCACTTATCGCCAATGGAAATAGGGATGAAGGTATGATTTTTAATATTTCTGTATTAAAAATACTTAACTATATCAGTTTTATTTTTAGGTGGCTTTGGAGGGTTTAAGAGTGTCTATTCCATCTGATATTTCRCCACATCTCACCAAACTTATTAAAATATGTATGAATGAGGATCCAGGCAAGAGGCCAACTTTTGACATGGTGCTTCCAATTTTGGATAAAATGAAAAGATAATAATAAAAAGTAACAAAATTCTTCAGTGCTATAGTGGAAGAAGAAATCTTAACAAAATAGGGCACTAACTTATTCACAAAAGTATCTATTTCAAAACCAGTGTATCTCAAGTGATTATTTATATTTATAAAATACACATATAGTGAAAACTCTTTATAACGAAAAACTCTATATTACGTAAATACTATTAAGTTAACTTATAACGGCTGGTTTGATTTTAAACCTATTAATAATTACTCTCTATTACGAAAACTCTCAATATCGAAAGAAATCACATGGTCCCTTCAGATTCGTTATAGAGAATTTTCATTGTATTTTAATTTTGTTAGAACGTTCATTATTCTATTTTTATAATAATTACTTTTTAAACAACAAAGTTGAAATCAAATATTAATGTTCTATTTTTTTCAAAAATGTAGATAATGAATGTTAGAATTTTACAGTGAAATATTCAATACTTTGGACTACTTTAATATTCCAGCGTGAGCTTCCTGTACTATGCAAACTAATAAAGACTTTAATGTTGACTATTTATTAACACTAGGTAATTACTAATTAGTAATTAATTATTAAATATTTCATATTTTTAATAAACAAACCCTAGTTACAACACTGTATTTCTGTTTCAGAGTTGAACAAGTAATTTTTTTCTCTTATTGATATTTTACTGGTACAATTTAAATAAATGTAACATACACTCTCTCTAGATATAATAAGTTTCTGTTATAGTTGTCTATTATAGATGCAGTAAGTAATATCAAAACTTAAATTGATTTTTGCTTCAAGGTATATTTTCTTATTAAGTGGTTATAATAATATCATGTATATCCAACATTCTAATGACTATAGCTGTATTAGACAATATTAAATCAAAAGTTTATTATAATGTTTCAAGTCAAAGTAACCTACTACAAATTCTAAAGTTGAGTGGAAATGAAATATTTTCATTAAATCCACACAAAACATTTTGTTTGTTCAATACTAAGTTACTTATGGGGAGAAAAATTATTCATATGATATTGATTGGTTACAGTATACAGTTGGTGTAATTAGGAATTAATATGAGCTTACATTTTATGTACTTAACTTGTTTTTATATAACTTATTATGATTAATTTTAGTTTTGACAAACTCAATAATTTATATTAGATTTAAACATATATTTTAAAAATTAATATTTTTGTTAAATATACATAATATATTATTTTATATAGGCAACGGCAGTTTTTGTCAATTATTGTTAATGTTATGCCTTATGCAGTTATGCTGTTCTGCACAAATTGATATTATTTCACGATGGTAAACACATCGCGTGCCTTATTATAAAGTTTGTTAAAATAAATTATAGTACCGCTAATAATTGTGAAATAATAATAATAAAACGTATTACTAATCGAAATATGTTGTTGATTTTGTTAACCGATTTTCCCATTATTCCGTTGCCGTTCCTATACAGTTCGATACGAACCATCGAAATACCCTCGGGGATAATATAATTGAAATTATTGTGTGTTTAAATATTTAATGCGTGCACATACATGAATATACTCGTATTASAAATTTAAAATATCAAACACGCTAATCCGCTTTTTGTCGAAGTCTCGTCAAATGTTAAAAACGTATTTTTACTATTTCACATAGTTAGTATCTATAGAATTTATTTTATGTTACGCAAAAGACACCCCGTCGAAACTAAAATGCACAGCACGAGAAAAAACGAAAACGAGCAGCTGGAGAACCTGCTCAGCCAATATTTCAGAGCCGTACGTTATGTTTTCGAATTTCTACTAATAGTGTGGTACATAATTATTCAGCGCTGTAAGCGTTATCTATATACTTATCTATTTAATGTGAATTGCTTACTGCT